TAGTGATTTCTTTCCAGGATCACTTGCATTCACATTTCTACTACTCCATGAGGAGGAAGGCCCTCACCTGCACTGAGCACGTAGCTGCAATAACCCCGTCAACAGGCGTCTCAGAGAAGGGATCAAATGTTCGATCAGGCCGCCTCATGAAATCTGGTTTGAGAAGGTACCTGACAGAACAAAAGCATAGGAGGAGTTTATTTTACTAAAGACTAAAATAGCTTTTACAAAGACTAAAATACTCAGTATCTGAATCACTGAATACTTCCTTTTCCCCATCTGTGATTTAGTAGGTAGGCTTTTAGGCATAGGGTCCTAAGGATTGAAGAGAATGTGCCTGCCCTTTTGGATAATCCTAAAGAGCATCAGTGAAGAAAGAACGTTCTCTCAATTCCAGGATCAGTGACACTAGTACTTCCTGATACTGTCATATTTTCTTGAGCTTTTTTTGTGCCATGGTCTCCTTTAGAGATGTCCTCTTATATGCATAAAATGAAGTATAAACAAAAACAATGAAAAATCAATTACATTAGCAATAGTTATCAAAATACAGAATATACATGTAATATTCTAAATATTTATTAATTATCATTTTATTAATTCATTAAATCATGAGATTTAATGGTAAATCTGATGATGACCATAACTTCAAAGTACTAATGTGCATAAAAATATTTTGACAGATCTAAAACAGAAGTAATGAAATATGAAAGTGTCTTTGATTTATATTGGTGAGAGTCACAGGCACCCCTAATATTACTGTGAATTACTGTTTACATTCATAATTTTAAAAATGTAAAATTTCAGTTATAGGTAGGTGAAAATAAAGGCTGATTATTTCCAGATTTCTAGTAAAGGCGATTAGGCAAAAAAATATATACATAAAACAAGACATCAGATTGTAAAGAAAGAAGTATAAATATTTTAAATCACAGATACCATATCTTATACACAGAAAAGGAATCCACTAAAAAACTTAAATCCACTAAATCTTAAGGAATCCACTAAAAAACTATTAGAACTAATAAATGAATTCAGCATAATTGCAGAATACAAGATCAATATATAAAAATTAAATTGTATTTCTATACACCAGCAATAAACAATCCAAAAATGAAATTAAGAAAAAAATTCCACTTATAATAGCATTAAACAGAATAAAGCATTTTGAAATAAATTTAAAAAAAATAAGTGCAATACGTTAAAAACTACAAAACATTGCTGAAAAAAATTAAAGATCTAAATAAATGAAAAGACATCTTGTATTCATGGGTTGGAATACAATTGTTAAGATGGCAATACTTTCCAAATTAATATACAAATTTATTGTAACCCCTATAAAAATCCCAACTGGCTTCTTTGTAGATATTGACAAGCTGATCCTAAAATTTACATGGAAACTTAACAGACTAAGAATAGCCAAAACAATCTTGAAATATAAGAACGAAGTTGGAGGTCTCACACTTCAATTTCAAAACTTATTACAAAGCAACAGCAATCAAGATGGTCTAGTACTAGCATAAGGATAGACATATAAATCAATGAGATAGAATTGAAAGTCCAGAAATAAATCCATGTATCTAGGGTCAATTGACTTTTGGCAGAATGCCAAGAACATTCAATTGGTTAAACAACAGTCTTTTAAAAAATGGTGCTAGAACAACTGGATGGCCTCATGCAAACAAAACAAAACAAAACAAACAAAAAACTGACCCTTATGTCATACGATATACAAAAATAAACTCAAAACATCACAGAACTAAATGTAAGAGCCCAACCTATAAAATTCCTAAAAGAAAACATAGGGACAAATCTTCATGACTTTGGACTTGGCAATTGATTCTTAGATGTAATATCAAAAGCACAAGCAACAAGAGAAAAAATAGACAAATTGGACTTTCTCATAAAAACTTTGTGTTTCAAAGGACACTATCAAGGAAGTGAAAACACAAGCCACAGAACGGGAGAAAATATTTGCAAATCATATATCTGGTAAGAAGCTTGTATCCAGAATAAATAAATAACAACCCAGTTTAAAAGATGGGCAAATAATCTGAATAGACATTTCTCCAAATAAGATAAACAGCCAATAAGCACATGAAAAGATTCTTAACATTAGTCAGTAGAGAAATGTGAATCAAAACCATAGGTACCACACACACACACACACACACACACACACACACACACACACACACACACACACACAC